CTTTTCTGGGACCTTGAGGTTGGAGGTGCCCTGCCCAGGTCCTGAACGTGTTCCCCGCTCTAGGCCCAAAGGCCAAGCCTGACAAGGTCTTCTGGTCAGTTCTGAAAGATGGGAGCTGCCTGGTGGCAGTTGGAGTGGGAGATGTGGTGGGCTCTCGGCTTCAGGCAATAAAGCGACCCTGGAAGAAGTGGATAAAAGTGTGGGTGTGTGGGGACATCTGGGCTGGTCTGGGGTCATCTCAGTGTCAGGGCCACGCGGGCCCAGCAGCACGGGGCAGGGCTGGCAATCCCTCCCACACCACGTGTAAGAACAGGCACTGCTTATGAGATGGGTGGGCTGGGGATCAGAATTGCTGTGCGGGCGTAGAAGCCAGGCCCTGATGGGGCAGGGGGTGCGTGTGGTGGAAGGACAGGGGTGGGTGCTGGCAAGGAAAGAGCTAAGGGCTGCAGGAGGGGTGTAAGTTGAAGGGGAGAAAGGGAGGCCAGGGCAGTCTCAGGACTGAGAGAGGGACCTGGGGTGGGGCAAGATGGAAGCGCAGAGGCAGTTTGCTGGGGCTTAGGATTCCAGAAGCAAAGCTCACACCAGGTGCCCACAAGGCCCTGGGGGCAGCCCTGGGAATGGGTTGGAGCTAAGGTCATTGGTAGTCAAGGAAATTTGGAGGGGGCATTTTAGATGAGAGTGACTAAGTAAACTTCCAGTAGAACATACAGACACAAAAGTGCACGCGGAGTAGGCAGCCTGATGAATTTTTACCTTCTCCATGTAACCAACATTCAATTTATGTTACATTTCCAGCACCCCAAAGGCCCCTTGGGCAGCCACTCTCCTGATGCTAACACGCGGATTAGAATGGAAGCCTTGGAACCACACGGTACTGCTCGTGTCCTGGCTTCTTTCATGGTGGCGTTGGTGAGAGTCGTCCCTGGCGCTGTGTGTTGCAGCGGTTTGTTCACTCCCATTGCTGGGTGATCTCCCACTTTGTGTATAGTCCGCAGGCCCCTATATGGTGGATGGTCATTTGGGTCGTTTCCAGTTTGGGAACATTCTTGCTCCTTTAGTGTTTGGTGGGTACGTGAAGGAATGGGATTGTGGGTCCCAGGGTGTGTGTGTGTCCAGCTTTAATAAGTGCTGCCCAAGTCTTCCAAAGTGGTGGCCCCACCACCTTGGGGTTAAGTAACTCAGGGAGATGGCTGGCGCGGGGAAACAAGGTGGGGCATGGGAGGGCGTGGCAGGAGGGCGTGAATCTCTAAGGACCTCTTGCTGGTTTGAGTTGGGTTTTGTGACAGATGGACAAGCGATGATGGAAGACGTCATGGAGAGCGGGGAACATGAGGATTTGACTCCTACCTCTGGATTTGGGAATTTCCCCCAAAGTGCTCTGGAAAGAGGTACATTTGGGGAGCCAGAGTTTGGTTCCGTATGTGATGGAGGAGGTAATTTACAAGGGTAGGGCATGGAAGGTTTGGCCAGTCATCATGCCCTTTCAGTGGCTTGCCACTGTCTACACAGCAAGCCTCGCCTGTCCCTCCAACCTCATCAGCTTCACCTGCAGGCCCAGGAGCCAGATTTAGGCATTTCCGTCCTTTGCTTTGGTAGACTCTGACTTGGGGACACTGTGTGATGACCAGCAGGAGAACTGTGAAGATGTGAACGGGCCATTTGGGAAATCACTGGGTCCAGCGACTCGGGCAGGAACAACGTGTCTGAGGGAGGTGGGCCTGGGCTTGCTGTGCCAGCTTCACTGACTTGCTGGGAGGCTCTGAGAGGCTATTTAACCTCTCTGAGCCCTGGTGTTCTTCTGTATAAAATGGGGTGAATACTCAGTGGGCCCAGCTGCCGTGTGGATTAGGAGCCTGTTACCTGGGGCTCAGCACCAAGTAAGAGCTATAAACAGAAGCACTCAGGCTGCCAGAGCTGGAGCACCCTCAGGGGGGCTTGCCCAGCTCCAGGGGACAGAGGGTGAATGCCTGTCCCAATGGCCCCAGAGCAGGGATTAGCCCCATGCGTTTCCCCAAGCCCTGGGGCCTCTGTCAGCCACTCTAATCCCCTTGTCATTCAGCGTGCCACACTGACGTTTGACCCTCAGCCCACAGGGACAGGCAGAGCCCTGCTGGTTTCATCCTGCCTAGTGTAGCGTGGAGGCTGGAGGCGGGCAGGGGGGATTAGACATCTCTGAGAACAGCAGGGCACCCCAGTGTCTCAGACTTCCCTGGTTCCTGCGCCTGTGGACAGCTCCTGGGGTAACTGGCTCTGTGGTGGGAACGTGGGGACCCTTGCCCATAGGCCTGATAAGTGGGGCCCCCTCCCCGGGCTCCCAGCCTTCAGGCATAGGAGTACCGTGCTTGGGGCTTTGAGACGGGGAGAGGAAAGGTGGAGGAACAAGGGTACATTTGGAAGGCATGGGGCTTTTTAAGGGGGGATGGCCTTCCCTGAGAATTGCAAATCTGCAGGATGTCATGGGAGAAACAAGAAATGCCAAAACATGGCCAAGGAGCCGGGGTGGAACGGGGAGCGGGGGGGAGGGTCTTGTATGTCTTCCATGCCGGCTCTTCCCCACACCCCTACGCTCCCCAACCTCCCCACCCCACCGTGCGTGGCATGGTCCGGTCTGAGGCCATCTGGGTAAATGTGGGGCTCCCTGAGAACCCACTTTGATTAAATGTTTTTTTCTCAAGGGCCAAGGACTGAGGCTGCCTGAAAAGTTCCCAGTCACACCCTCCTGGACCCCAAGGACCGGAAAGTCCCCTTCTGAGCAGGTGAGACAAACCCCCACTTGCATTAGACATGATCAGTGGAGGCTTGTGTTCCCTCCTCCCTTGGGCAGCAGTGTTGGGGTACCTCAGGCCCACCCCTCCCAATCTCCTGGGGCTCCGATGCACGGGAGGGCAGTGAGGCTAGAATTGGGAGGTTTGGAGGTCTGCTCCTCGGGTACTTCTGGCTGAGCAGGAAAGGTGGGAAGAGAGCTCCAATGTTTACAGTCCTCAAAACTGCCTCAGGAGCCAAGCACCTGGGGAATATGGCCATCTGCTGTGGGGCTGGCCCCATCCAAGATCCAGGTATAAAAGAGGCGAGACACACCATCACTCAGGCCTGCCCCTCTTGATCAGGACCAGACCCCTGATCCTCACGCCTCTCCAAAAGGTGCTGGGGGCCCCTCCACTGCCCCAGAGGCCAGGGTGCCCAAAGCCGGGGCCGGCGGGTTATGGGCTCGTTTCCGGAGGCCTTCCAGAGGCTGGGCATGGCAGCCCAGCAGGGCCTTCACTCAGTGCGGCCTTTCCAAACTGGGGCACCCAGAGGTGGCGCCGGCAGCTTGGATGTCCACGCAGAGCATTCATTACCTGAGGCCCGTGGCCCTGCACCTGCCACCTGGGATCCCAGAGACCCCAAGCTGCCAGCGGCGCCACACGCTGCCCGCCAGCGAATTTCGCTGCCTTACCCCAGAGGATGCTGCCAGCGTATTTGAGATTGAGCGTGAAGGTGAGCAGCCCCACGCAGGGTCCAGATGCCTCTCTGCCAGTTACCCTGTGGTGAGAAGCCCCTTGCGTCTCCTGTCCTTGTGGGCTGGGACCCTGGGGTATCAGACCATGTGTGTTTCTGTGTACCCATGGGTGTTTAGGAATGTGGGGGGAACAACAGCCCTGAACCCCCTGCTTTCTGGTAGGGGAGGATTGGGTGGTGGGAGACCCACCCCTGTCATCTGAGCAGATGCTTGGTGTGAGCGAGCATCTGGCATGGTGACCAGAATCACCCACTTGTGCCCCCTGCCACAGCCTTCGTCTCTGTCTCTGGCATGTGCCCCCTGCATCTGGATGAGATCCGGAAGTTCCTGACCCTGTGTCCAGAGCTGTCCCTGGGCTGGTTCCAGGAGGGCCGCCTTGTAGCCTTCATCATCGGCTCACTTTGGGACGAGGAGAGACTGACCCGGGTGAGGACAGGGCAGGGGTGAGGAGAGATTAACGCAGGTGAGGGCAGGGTGGGCTGCAATGCCCAGTCCCCAGAAGGCCTCTGGTAGAGAGCCCACTGCCCGCTGGCCCCTGGCTGCTCTCACACAGCCAGACAAGGGAGAGGAGCCAGAGGCTGGGGTATCTTCTTCCAGACCCAGAGAGACGAGCGCAGGCCGTGGGCCCAGCCCTTTGGGGGTCTCGAAAGCCCTCATGAAGGGTCTGCCATGAGGCTGGGGTCTAACTCCCAATTTGGGGCCCTCCTCGGGTGGGAGGGGAGCCCTGATTGTAGGGGGCACTTGGCCCAGGGTGGGGGTGGTGTGGGGTGCAGGTGTCAGCAGAGGTGACTTGGACTCCTGTCTCCTGCTTGCCCCCAGGAGTCACTGACGCTGCACAGGCCCGGGGGCCACACAGCCCACCTGCACGTGTTGGCTGTGCACCGCACCTTCCGACAGCAGGGCAAGGGCTCCTGCCTGCTGTGGCGTTACCTCTACCACCTGGGTGGCCAGCCAGCCGTGCGCCGGGCCGTGCTCATGTGCGAGGACGCTCTGGTGCCCTTCTATGAGAGGTTTGGCTTCCACAGGGTGGGCCCGTGCGTTGTCACCTTGGGCCCGCTGGCCTTCACAGAGCTGCAGTGCTCCCTGCGGGGCCACGCCTCCATGAGCAGGAACAGCTGCTGAGCTGGCCGGCCATGCAGGAGTGGCTCTCAGCCAGCCCCGGAGCCCCAGTTGGTCTACGCTGAGTGTGAAGGGATGATTCCCAAGCAGTGATGGTGAGGGCAGGGTTGAAATAAAGAGAAGGGCTCTTCTCCCAGCTGGAACACAAGCAGTATGTCCTCCAGTCTGTCCCCAAGGGGCCCTCTGGACCTCCCGTACTCCAACCTGTGCCCGAGCTGGGGTTGGCATCTGTGGACAGTGGGAGGTGTCCTGCAGCCCTGCCTCAGCTCCCTTCATTTCAGGAACCAGTGGGGGGCCCTCTGGGCAGGTGGGCATGAACGGCTTAGTACCAGGGCAGTGTCCTAGTCCTCACAGGGACAGCCCAGTGCTCAGGAGCCCTTATTCTCCCCAGGTCCAGGGATGGTCCTTCTTGCCCTCAGCCCCGGAATGGGGGGTAGCTGCGAGCAGGAAAGTGCAGGCGCTGCCTCCCCCAGCCCCAGGCATCCTGGGGGGCTCCTGGGTGTGCGGAAAAAGGGTTGGGGTGAGGCAGTAAGTGGAGTTTTCCAGGGTGGCCCATCCCTTGGCCCAGCGAGCCCCGACTGCCACTATGAGCTGGTGGGGCTGGAGGACCCCGGGGGGTTTAAGGATTTAACTCCACCCCCTCAAGGGAGCCCCTGAGGCCCTCCATGTGACCCAACTTGGTTTCTGGTCCAACCAAATCCCCTAGAAGTCCCATAAGATTTCCAATGTCCCTTTGGGCCAAACCCCTGCCCCCAAGCTCCTCATGGCTGACCCTTCTCCCCACCCCCAAAATAAGATTCCAGCTTCGTCTTCCTGAGGCCTCAGATCAAAAGATACGGTACTTCCCTAAAGGATACCATTTAATACACTTGAAACATCATCCATACAAAGTTAGCGTTACATTTAAAAAGTAGGACCATAATATAAACCAGTAAAAAAACGGGCTTGACTGAGCCTTGGGCAACCTCTGGAAGTGGGTCCTTGGGGTGGCCCAGCCCCCCGTCCCCACTTGGGTGGGAGTGAGGCAGAGGGTGGTGGCGCTGGCCGTCGTCAGAGCCAGTCCCGCGAGGCAGAACACTGGAAAGGGGCGGGGGTACAGCCTCTGCTGCTAAGGACAAGCGGAGGCTCCTGGCTTCAGGGTCTGCGTTTCGTGCTCCTTCTCCCAGACCACGGCCAAAGCCTCTCTCATCACATCTGGTCACCTTATGGGCGGGCTCAGCAGGCTACTGGTGAATGGGCTTGGAGGGCAGACAGGGGGGAAAACCAGGGAGGGGGGACATGGTGAGGCAGGGTGGGAACCTGGTGCGACGCCCAGCCATGTCCCCAGTAACGGCACACTCACAGTAACGGTGGGCGAGGGGGCACCCGCAGAGGCTGGGGTGGGAGATGGCAGCAGCCCGAGGACACTGGGACGAAAGAAACCCACCCTCCGGAAGGTGGGCAGGACAGCAGGGCAGATGGCAGCCCGAGCCCTGAGTGCAGAGAAGCAGCTGCTCTGAGTGCCCCCCAGTCAGGGCCAGGAACACACAGGCCTAAGGACGGGGACCTCAGTCCCCCCAAGGAACCAGCCCTTATGACGGTCTCCGAGGCAGCCTCGCCCGGCGGGGGACGACCTGGGCCTGGGCACCCGTCGGTGGGTCTTTGGAGTGCGGGTGGGGTGCTGTGCAGGCACGGTCCCCGGGTCCTGGGGAGCAGCCTCGCCCGGCCCCTCCGGGCAGCTGGTCAGTGTAGCACCTGGTCCAGCTCGTACTTCTCACAGAAGCGGCTGGTGAAAGGGAAGCAGGTGAGGTGCTCGATCCAGGGCCAGTGGATGGGGTAGACGTAGAGCCAGATGACCAGCGAGGCGAAGAGGCCGGCGAAGACCAGCAGCGACACCAGGATGAGGGCGCGCTTGCGGTACTTGTCGCTGGTGCCGAAGGTGATGTAGGGCAGGAAGGCGAAGGCCAGCAGCAGGCCGCTGAGGAAGCCGAAGATGTGGGCGATGTTGTCGATCCAGGGCAGCAGGCCACACACGAACAGGAAGAGGACGACGGCCGACAGCTTCAGGAAGGCCTTCCAGGGCCGCTCCAGCAGCTGCCAGCTCTGGAAGAGCTCCACGAAGAGGCAGGCGAGGAGGCCGAACTGGGACCCCGCCGGGCCCACCTGGGGGTGGGTGGGGGAATGGAACACATGTCACTTCCAGTTACCAGGTGTGCAGGAAGCCCTGGGCACAGCTGGGCTGGAGCACGGAACCTGGGTCATCCTATTTCAAAGTGCCTCCCAGGGGTGGGGGCCCCAAAGCTGAGGGGATGGGGGAGGGCTGGTGCCACCCATCCTTTTAGCAAAGGTGGAGACCTCCTATGTGCCAGGTGTAATAAAGCAGGACGGATGAGCCTGCTCCTGGCAGGGTGCAGCGGGGAGGGGCCAGGCACTGAACAAAGCAACAGCGTTAGGTTGGACTGATCAAAAAACTGCCATTTCTGTAGGTCAAGAATGGTCCCATACTGGCACTTTCCTATGGCTCAAACTGTACATATGGGACATGGTGGCAGGCAGCGATCATGGTCATGAAGAAAGGAAGCCGAGAAGGGGAACAGAGTGAGGGACAGGGTCCTGGAAGGTCTTTCCGGAGGTACCGTCTGAGCGACTCGGACAGCACTGCTCCCTCGAGCCTGAGATTAAGGGATCGGCCAATAAGCCCCCAGCTTAGCTGTCCATCTGCTTTTGAGCCTGGCATCGAAGGGGCCATGTGTCCCTCTGGCAGACTCCGGCGGGGAGGGGTGGGGAGCAGCAGAGCCAGCCCTCCCTCCCCTCCTGCCCAGTCCCGAGGCCCTACCTCTGCCCGGTACGGGAGGAAGAGGGCACTGGCGAGATTGCCGGTGATGCCACTGAGGATAAAGATGATGGCAATACGGTGCCAGCCGGCCAGCTTCTCCAGGTCCCGCAAGATGGTCATTTGGAAGACCACAGACACAAAGCAGTGCACCACGCTGGAGCGGGGGACACACTGGCATCAGCCTCCCCACGTCTACTCACAGCCTCCAGCCAGGCACTTCAGGAGCAATGGGGTCTGGGGGACTGTGCTGGCGTTCCCTGGGCAGGAGCCCCTCCATCGGGGGTCCAGGTGAGCAGCCACCACAGGGGTCTGGGAGGTGGGCAGCAAGGAGCCTTACCCAGCATGGAGGAACAGAGACAGCCAGAGCCTGTAGAACTGATCTGGGACCTCAGGGTTGAGGAAAGGAAGCAGCCCACACACCTCATCCAAGCAGTGCACCTGGGGGTGAGTGCACAGGAATCAGCACCTGGGACCCACCTGGGTCAGAGGCCCTGATGTGGGGGGCAGAGCCCGATACCCGCTCCAGCAGCTGCCCTGCCCAGCTTCTTATGCCCAGGGCGCCCCCAGGCCTCCTCACCTGGGAGCAGAGTGTTGCCTCTTCGTGGAAATAGCCGTGCATGAACTCGCAGTACTCCCGAGTGGTGATCTCACAGCTGGAGGGCCAGGGAGGTGAGGGGGCATGTCAGGGCACTGAGTACCCCCGCCCACCTCGCCTGGAGCCAGCGCCTGGCCACAGCCAGCATCACTGGTGGGAAGCCCGTGCCCCTCTGCAGACACCCGGGCTCCCCCCTTCATCCTGCTCACACCATAGGTGGCCCCAGAGTGGGCGAGGGAGGACATGAGCCCGGGTGCGGGCAGAGGAGGAGGAGCACAGGAAACGCGGGGCTGGCTCCTGGACGGCTCACCTGCCCTTGGTGCCGATACAGCAGGGGCGGCCCTTGATCTGACAGTCCATGTGCAGGAAGCCCGAGTGGTTACTCTTGGCCTGCTCCGTGCAGATCTGTGGGGGGACACCAACAGGGCTGGGCCCGTGCGGCCCAAGGCGCCCCCTCCCCACCCTTCCCAGACCCCTCTCTGCCCTGCCACTCACTGGCCACTTGGTGATGTCATCAGGCCAGATGTGGGCACCACTGGAGGCCGGCTCCTCGCAGGTTCTGGAGGCAGAGGTCAGAGGGGGCAACATGAGGGCCTGTGACAGCCCGTCACACCTGCCTGCCAATGTCCCTGTGGGGAGCACGACGTGCTACTCAACCCCATAGTCTCAGCCCCATCGGGGTTACCCTGGGACTGTACCTGGGGTCCTGCTGGCACACAGCCCCTGATGTCCGCTTCTGGCCCTGATCGGACTTGTCCATGGGGGGCCCAGTGTCATCCTGCCACTTGACGAAAGTAGCCAAAGTCTCCTGGAGGATGGAGGTGGGCTGATTATGCCAAGTCAGGACCACCCCCATCCAAGTGGTCAGGACACACCCCTGACAGGGGCTCTTCCTGTTCCCCAGGGCTCAGGTCCATCTCCCAGACCCTCACCCCCACCCTCAGGAGACATTCTTAAGACCTGGCTTTCACTTCTCTGGGGTTGGGGTGGTCAGCACCCTTCCTGTGCTGGGGGGTGTGTACAGGAGTGTGTGAGGCCGGGGAGGGCAGACGAAGGAAGAGGGAATGTGGCCACTGCCCTTGAACGGCCCCTCCCCCAGGCCAGGGCAAGTGTACAAGGTGCAGGGGACCAGAGTGTGGCAGGGCTGGCAGGCTCGGGGTGGATGGCGGCCCCTGTCCCCACCGAGCAGTCCTTGCGCTGGGTCTGGATGCAGCCTGAGTGGTCATTCTGGACACAGCAGCCTGAGTCCCGTTCCAAGTCTCGCTCCCGCAGCACCAGCTGCTCGATCTGCAGGTCCTTCCGGATGCAGGGCGAGAACTTGGCTCCCAGGTGAATTAAGTCAATCTGTCAGGGGTGGGAAGGGGGGTGAACTCAGGCCCAGAGCTGAGAGTCTGCCCTGAAGAGATGGGCTACTGGGCAGCTGACCCCCTTCCCGCCCAGCCGGGGGTGACAGGACCCAGGCGCTCCCTGCTGATATGCTGCTCCCACCCCTTCCCCGGGCCCCTCACCGAGCTGGGACCAATCCAGAAGTTCTCCTGCTGGATGTACTTGACGCTCTCGTACACACCTTTGTTCCTGAGCACCTAGTGCAGA